AGGAGAATCCACGCTTTCTGATTGGTTACCTGTCACATTCAGCTTTAAGCTCCCAGTCGGGGAAAACCCCCGATTTAGATCGGAGCGGCCACGACAATCTACAGTACCTCACCATACACTACAGGATGATCGGTTACAAAATCACCAGCGACAATCTTAGATGGGCGAACGTTCTAAGATTGTCATAAGGGCAAAATGGGGGCAAAATATCGTGTAGAATGAACTATTGCATTAGTCGGATGTGCTCATCTTCTCTATTTAAATCTAGTGATTACTGAAGGGCAATACAGTATACAGACTTTATAATCTGCACTCTTTTGGTTGAATCCAGTATTTATTTTATTTTATTTTACTTTGGTTTTATGTTGTTTAGTTTTTATTTAAGTATGTTTTTTGTTAATGGAGACAGAGAATCACTTTTATTTTTGGTTGTTTTGTTTATTTAGTTTATTAGTTCCAGTGTTATGTGTTCTTTTGAAAATAAAATGTATCTATCTATCTATGGCAGGAAATCGCATGCATTATTAGTCAATATTATCGTTTATCGCAATAATTTTTTAGACAATTAATCACTCAGCAAAATTTGTTATCGTGACAGGCCTACATAACGTACTGATAATTCTAACAAATATGTGAAAAGAAAGTTATAAAAGTTACGTACTGCAGCATTAATTTCATATTAATACATGTTGAAACATAGTTTGTAGAAATTTGGGTAACACTTTATTTGACGGGTGTGCACAAGACTGTCATGATACTGTCATAAACATGACATAACATCTGTCATGAACATAAGAGTCTTTATGAATGTTTATGAATGTTAAGAAGTGTCATTTGGTAAATAATGACACTTTTAATGCAAAGTTGCTCCTAAAGTTGCATTAAAAGTGCCAACTTTGCATTAAAGTGTCATTTTTTACCAAATGACACTTCATAACAGTCATAGACATTAGTAAAGACTCCTTCCTGTTCATGACAGATGCTATGCCAGGTTATGATAGGTTTCTATCAACTTTATTGAACATGTACATGCTGCCAAATGTAACTTTTGTGACAATTATTTTGTACATATTTGTTAAAATTATATCAAGTCTGTATAACACAGCTTATTTTTTTATATCATCAGTCTCATGTTTTACTGTTTACTATGCGATATCATAGTGACAGTTTACACAAATATGTGAAAAACCTATTGCTTATAAATATCACTTACTGCAACTTAATAGTTGACCTTCAACATATTTCTGCAGTTAGTCATTAAAAAATAATAAATTTGTGTCCTGCAATGAGGAATACAACAACAGAAAACACAAAAAGTGAACATTAGAACATTATTAAATAAAAAACTTTAAAATGTCCATTTACTCACTCATAGAGGCAGTTTTTAAGGAATAATGTCTTGTTGGACAGTTTACCTCCATCCAGTTCTATTATTATCTTCTGTAACACCTCAAAAGTGTAGCGAAGGCCAGCAGGGTAGGCGAGGTTCAGCCCATATATCAGTCCAACAAGTATTACAACAGCTGTAGGCACACTATCCACCATGGACGATCCTGATGTCTTCATGTGATGAAGTCTTTCAGATGAAAAACGCGGGTGGTGGTGGTTCCAATAGCCTCTTCAATGGTAGCTTCATCCACACCCTATGTGAAGTGATGACAAGTTAATCTCTCTTTCTCTAGACCTAGATGCATATATATATATATAGATAGACATTTCTCTGTAAGAGCTATCTCTAAAAGGTTGGACAGATCAATGTAAATTTCGATGAATATAGATATCTCAAGTATATCTAAATGTAGAGATAGACATAGAAGGATGTATCTATCCATGTGGAAAGAGATATATTTCTACATATCTAGAGAAATCTAAGTCTAGATAGATATAATTATGTATATACAGATCGAAATTTTTCTCTATATTTAGAGAGATTTATCTATCTCTAGTTGTGTAAACACACATATAGATACATACCACATACTCCTGGATGAGCTTGGCTGGATCTTCTCCCATATACATGCAGACTTCCTTGATGACACTCCCATGCAGCATCAACATCTTCACACTGAAGGAAATTAATGGAATTAGAATCTTTTTTCAAGCCTTATGCTTGAAGTTTAACAATTTACTTTACACAACTATTTTTAAAGTGAAGACATACAGTAGAGGTTGAAGTGAAAACAAGCAGGTGTAAAAGTTCAAGGTGAGAACATTTAACACAAGAAAAATTTAATTTTCTGCATTAAAAAAGTTTATCCAAAAAGATTGATAGTTGTGTTGTGGCTACATCACTTACCTCCTCCATTTGTGCAACAACTTGTCCTAGCATTTGTCCAAGCTGTCCTCCTCTTCTTTTGAACATCTTCATCAGGTTGTCAAAATGGAGATCCAGCTGAGACAAGAACTTTGACTGAAGTGGTAATTCTCTTAAACTCAAGAGTTTATCTGAAAAAAAGAGCACAAAGTAATGAGCTTCAAATGTTCAACACTTGTAAGAGCCCAACAATCACTGCTACAGAAGTGAACAGTCAAGTAAATGTGCCTAGACATCTTAGATTAACATTACATCCAAAAAACAAAAACTTGTATAGCATTGTTTAAGAAAAACATACGTCACCATCTACACTTCTCAGTAGATATTTACAGAGGGCACTTTACACAAGACTTGAGCATCTGGAAGACATTTGGATTCAAATAAGATTCTGAATTTATACTCAATACTGTGCTCCAGCCCAGCGCGCTGGAGCATTGAGCCTTGCCATCCACATGGCGCCGCTGCCGCGGTAGAACCATTACATTAGCAAAACGAAGCATGGAGAGGGAGGGGATTATTAACGTAGCACAGTGCACCACAGATAAGGAAAAATAACGCAGAAAACAGTCGAAGTACTCAAAATCCCTCATATTCTTATTTTTGTCGCTCTGTCAGCGACGCTATAAGCAGACCCGTTACCATAACAACAGACATCGGTTCTGTTAGTGTACCATGATTCGACAACAAAAGACATGCAAACATTTTCCACACTAAGAACAGAACACTGAATCCGTTACTCCAACAGCTACAGCCAGTCTAAGTAGCCATGAGGAAAAAAAGTAACACGAACACTTTGCATCCTCCTGGTGGCTTTTCACTCGCTTCCCGAGCTATCAAGACCGCCTCGTTTCTCTCTCCCAAGCACACAACTTACAAATTTGATCGGTAACAACTGTTTTTTGTGGACTACTTTGATCAACTATGATGTACTGATCTGTACTAGAGCTAAGCCCCGGTGCTAATAACGATAGCTAGCAAAGTGAAAACCAAAGAACATGCAGAAGGTTTAAATGACTTCTCATACAGATGGATAATCTTTGTGGAAACATTGTCAACTACAAAAAATAACATTTAGATCACTTACTGCCTCCAAAGATTTGTCTTGTGTTCTTGTGGCTGAATAGTCAGAAGAAACTGCGCGGCAATCGCGATACCTTTAAAATTATCTTGTTTGGCTTCTTATTGGTTAAGATTCAAAAGACCGCTCTTATTATTGTCCAATCATATTTAATTATTGTCTTTGCTATATTGCATCATTTCCGGTGATGATAAAACATGATTACAATAGTTTTAGTAATTTAATTTGATCACGTTAAATCAACATAAGAAAAATTAGTAGAAAAATTATTGTTGGTAATTAAGTTAATGGTTCTTTATTCAATCGTGTAAATACAAGAAAGATGACTGAATTGTGTAGTATTAACTTATTTGTGTAGTATTAACTTATTACAAAATAATTTGCACTTATTTTGTGCAAATTAAAAAAAACAATTCTCATTTGTTCAGTGTACAAATCAACTAAAACGTATTCCAACTGTTTCAACTGTTCGACAGTTAATCAAATATTAACACTATTTCATGTCGAAGCATAAACATTACTCTCGTCAAATCACTTGCCTTTATCCCTTATCAACCAAGCGCTAACTAATTAATTGTTTAGACCTTAGTTGGACTTTTCCTAAGTTATCTCCCTTTAACTGTGACTCGTACGCTCTCTTACTCTCTGCATTATGTCCAAAACAGTTAATTGTCAGTTATTGTCAGAAGTTTGTGTAGATCACTTAGCAACTGTGTCCCTTTAAAAACTCTTTCAAATTAAAAGCATCAAATAAACAAATAAATAAATAAATAGATATGTAAGTATGTAAATATGTATTAATAAAGTCATTTACAAGGGTTATGTTAACCTGGGTTACACATCCTTGTCCCTAGTGGGTCGGGTGGGTTGCTGGTGCCTAACTCTAGTGAACATTTCGGGCGAGAGGTGGGGTTCACCCTGGACAGGTCGTCAGTCTGTCACAGGGCAACACACAGACAGACAGGACAAACAACCATGCACACCCCCACCTGGAAGAATTTAGAGAGATCAATTTAAAGACCAATACCAAAAAATTTGGTAACACTTTATTTGAAGAGGGGTGAATAAAACTGACATGACACTGTCATAAACATGATATAACACCTGTCATGAACATCAGTAAGTCTTCATGAATATTTATGACTGTTGTCATAAAGTGTCATTCGGTAAATCATGACACTTTTAATACAAAGTTGACATTATTCAAAATGTCTGTTATGACAACTTGACATTAGCCTAGACAAAATTGTCTTCGTTATGACAACTTGTCATTAACCAAGAAATCATGATCTGTCATAAATTTGTTATAAAAGTATTACCAATTAAACTTTAAAAATTAGCTTTATGTAGTAATATTATATAGCTCTGCCATGTTGTTTAGTCTTAATTTTCTTAATTTAATCGATCCTAAAGTTTTACAGCAAGATGTTTACAAAGCACTAATGAACTTAGCATTTGAAACATTATTTAAGGCTATTTAACCCTTGTGCATGCGAGGACTGAGGCAAACGTAGAGGACTGTGGCAAACGTAATGTTAGCTATGAGCAATTCAAGCCAATCCTATCTTGCTGTAAGTTAATGCTAGCTAAAGTTATTAAACTCCATTACTGTAACGTTAGCCCTTAATATTAAACATATTTTAAAGACAGGCAAATTGTTTTTTTCCCTCCAATTTTAATCTAGCAAATTAAAAGGTAATATGTTAGTCAAAGTTATTGATGTTGATGAGACTTTCTCCAATATGATAACAGTGGGCTGAGGGAAATACAGATTTATTTTGTAGCAATTCAAGAGCTAACCAATATAGTTGTCATAGTACTGCTAAGGACACATGGTGGGGGGGACAAAGTTGGCTAATAGTGGGATGGGGAGTGGGATGCTACGATTGTGGAGG